ATGTCCGTCAACGACGTCATCGAGAGGAAGTGCCTGGGGACCTTGAATAAGGCGAGAAAGTTCACGCTGGTTGTGAAGATCTTCGGCTGCCCGGTCCAGGAGTCGAGGAACTGTGCGGCGAAGGGGCTGCTGGAGACATTCGGGGGCCGCTGGTCGGATAGATGCGGCGCGCCGGCAGTTCTGAGACACGGCCCCGAAGGCGCGCTCGTGTCCCGCCAGCTCCTCGAGCGTTTCGCTGGCGAGGCCGTGGCACTGGATTCCCGCGCGACGCAGGCGCGCTGGCAGAATTGGATAGCCGAGCGGGCGATCGAGACCATCTTCGAGTGCGAATTGTCGTTGCGCAGGGGCCGCGACGCCGACCTGGAGACGGCTGTGCGCCAAGCAGTAGAGGCTCGCGACACTGCGGGTCGGGTCCGCGGCTACAGTCCGACTCAGTGGGCATTCAGTCGGGGCCAGAATTTGTCGTGGATGCTCGCGGAGGACGAGAATCTGAACATGGTGAAGTGCGCCAACCAGAGCCACGTGGGTGACCTGTAGAAGCGAGTGTTGGCATCTCAGATCATCGGTGATGGGGTCCCGAAGCAGCAGCGGGCCCGGGCAGCAGCCGCCTGAGATCATCGAGTCCAGTGGTTTGTGCCTGGCGTGCTGGTATGCGTCTGGCGGCGCGGCAACCGGGCGAACCGGCCTGCGCCTGCGGGCAGGAAGCAGCGCGGTGTCGATCGAGGGCGATGGTTAGAACCAGGCGCCGTGCTGGGCGTGCGAACTGTTAGGATGAAAGGCGAGTGCCCGCGTCCATCCCGACTTGTCTCGGCGGTAATGGGGGCGCGACTGGAGCTGCTTACCAGAGCAGCTGCGAGCGGCCAGCCGACGCGAGGTGTATATCTTCACTGCAGAATAGGGGGCGCCCTGGACATTCGTGGTGTCCTTCGACAGTCTGAACAAGGTCGAGGTGATCAGCGTGGGCGCGGAGGGCGCACCCGTGCAGGGGGATACCTGCGCGCCAGAGGCCACGGCGAGAGCATCGGGCGATGGCGATCTGGGGAAACTGGATAGAGGGCGCGTTCGACGGGCGCAAGGCCCGCGTTCGAGTCCACCGCCGTCATCGCGTGGCACTGTTCATCGAGAGGCTTCCGAGTCTCGCCCGAGAAGACGACGATGGATTTGGTCGCGGTGGTGCATTTCGAGGACGCGCAATCCGATGCAGTCAAGGACGAGTCCTGGCACGTTCACGGGGCGTCGATGCGGACTCCGGGTGGCGCTGGACTGGCAGGGCCCACCTATTTCCGAGGAGGAAGCAGAAGCGACGGGATCCCTTCGTCAGGCGCTGGAGCAATGGCCGAAGGCGTCAGTGGCAAAGCAGGCGCCGATTGGAGATCACGACGACTCTGGCCTGATGGAGGGCGCGAAGATCGAGCTGGCGCCCGTCGCGCAAGAGGATCGGACACGTCGTGGGAAGCGCAAGCCCATCACGACCTCCTCGCAAAGACACGGGGAAGGATGCGCATGGAGACATCTTTCGGGCCCGCATTGAAGGTGGACATCTTGATCCCCGTTGGGACAGAGTGCATTGAGGTGTCGTTCGAGGTCGTGGGCCACGCGAACGTGGAGAACATTGTCAGTCAACCACAGCGCTGCGCGGCAAAGGCGCCGAAAAAAAAGGGGGGCGGAAGCCGGCGCCGAGAACGTGACCAGCTAGCGGAAGGACCAGATGAAGGCGGCGAAGCTCGTGTGGGTGCCCGACAGCATCGCGAATGACGTGCCCGGGAGTCCCCCGCCCCGCGCGAAGCCGAGCCCCGCGGGCGTGCTGAAGACGAGAAGGGTGCTGACTTGGAGGAAGAACGAGGCGACAGGAAATTGTCGAGCCTAGGCCAGACTTGCTGTCCTCGGATCTCAATATCCACGTCTCGGCGAAGATCAAGTTGCACCACTTACGATGACGAGAAGGGCTGGGCACGCGATATTCTGGCTGGTGGCGATGATGGTCGGGGAGCTCGAGGAGGGCGCCGTCCAAGCGACTTTCTGCAGGGCAATGGGGCGCCAGGCGACGAGCCAGTCTTCGTCGCGGCGAACGAGGAGCCAGCGGAGGAGCGGGCTACCCGTCGAGACATTCGAGCGCCTAAAGGAACCAGTGTATGGATTATGCCATGCACCCAAGTCGTGGTTCGAGGGCGTGGTCGCGCTGGTGGAGCAGGCAGGAGGACGGAGATGCGCGTCGGACCCGTGCGTCTGGGTGTTCGGCGACGAGAAGGTCGCGCGCGACATCGTCGGCGCGCGCGTGGGCGACTTCCTGATCGCAGGTGATGGCGGCCGTCGCTGGATGGGCGTGGAGATGAAGCTTCAAAAGGCGTTTCGCCAGACCCTTTGGGATGAGGGGCAGGGACGGGGCTTGCAGTCGGCCGTGGCCCAGACGAGCGAATCGCGATCCACCGGAAGGCGTTCGTCGACAATGGCAAAAATCGACATTCCAGGCGATCGCCGAAGGCAGCGCAACGAGAAGCTGACGGGCCGCGAGATGGCGCTACTGAGGGGGGCTCTAGGCGATATACAGTGGGTAGTAGTACAGACAATGCCGCGGTACCAAGCGCAGTGCCCCATTCCCAGAGCAGTGGACCTACGGCGACCGTCGAGGCGCTCATTGGCATAAGCAAGATGATTCGCCAGATCAAGACGGACCCCAATGTCAAGCTGAACTTTGAACCGTTCGCGGTTGCCGCAGTGATTGTGGGTTGAGGCGACGCAGCCTGGGCAGACTGAGCGGGCGGGCTGTCGACTGGTGGCTGTGTAATCGGCGTCGCCCTGGAGGATATCTTAGAGGGCAAGCGGGCTCCTGTCGACCCCATGTCATGTCGAAGTGGCAGGCTACAGTGGGCGGCCAGAAGCTCGCTGGCGGCAGATATCCAATCCCTGACGATCGCGGAGGACGATCTGTTCATGTTGCGCATGATGTGGGCCGAGCTGAACTGTTTCGCGTCTGGCGTGGCGGCCAGCTCGGCGAGTGCAGGTTGTGGGCTACGGCCCATGGTCGACTGCGGTCGGGACGTGGAGGCGTGCCTCTGCGTGGGTGCCAAGAGCGTCGACGACTGTTTGGCGAAGCAGCTGTAGATGCAGAGCTTGGCTGATGGCTTTCGAGCGGTGATCGAGGTGACCAGGCTGGTCGTCAGGTGGCGCCATTCCGCGGCGAACCTAAGTGACAGTCTGGCCGGAACAACGGCCACTAAGCCGACTGATCTGCGCGTCAGGACAGGATGCTGGGCCCCAGTCGATGACGAGGAGCAGCTCAGCGCCGGGAAGCGGGAGGAGAGAGCTTTCGCCCGATTCGAGGCGAACATGAGAGTTTTCGCTGGCCTCATCCGAGATGCGCTCAAGACCGCGGGGACTTCACTACCAGAAACAGCAGACAGTGGCGCAGAAGATGGTCGTGATCAGGTCTGCAGCGGGCCCCCGGCCCGAGGTCGAGTTCGACTTCTGATCGGCTGCGGCCGCGGTTGCAAGCAAGCGTGTCTTCGAGGTCCGGTGTGCGGGGGCTCAAGGCCACGCGTTTCGTTTGCAGTTCCAGATGAGGCGGACGGCACTGTGCTATGACGCGCCATGTTGGCAGCGATGGTGATGCGTGGCCCTCCCTTGAGCCTGGAGTCGGATAGCTTAAGCAAGAAGTGCTCCAGGGGATGTGAAACCACTTGTGTATGTGTGGATTGCCTCTTAGCGGAAGAGGTTCGCTTTCGCCCCGCCGACTAAAAAGTGTATGTGTGGATTGCTTGCTACTCCGGCTGCCACTCGTGCTCGCGAGGGGCCCCTCGAGCCGCCCTGCGGGCAGTCGTTTCAACGTTTTGCGGGCTCCAGGGAGCTGGTGCCAGTGTGATAGACTCATTAATCCAAATCGCTTCGCTTTTCATTTTTCTTGTTGATTGGCGTGCAGGAGTTTTTTTTGAGCCAAGTACTGCACGTTTTCAGACTGGTGGTCGGGGGCAGAGCTGGCCCGACATTCGTGCCGGAGGACGGAGTCAGATCCACGGACCTTGCATCATCAAGCGGCCGACGCCGCCACCGAGCTTGTCGTCGCGATCGGTGAGCCCGCAGTTCCCGCCCGTCCGCTTCCCATTCCCCGAGTTCGCCGCCGCCACCGCCGCCGCCGTTTTCGCCGCCCTCGCAGCCGCCGTCGCCCCGCCGTCGACGCAGTTGTGGCCCTCGCCGCCGCCGCCGCCGCCGACGACGCCTGGCAGCTCCAGCGCGTCTGCGGCGGCCACGGCGGCCACGGCGCGGCGTCCTTGCCGCCGCCGCCGAAGCCGCCGCCGCCGCGCCGCCGTCGCCGCCCTCCGGCGCCCAGCGGATCTGGCGCCGGCCGTGCGCGCGCTCGGGGGGGAGCTGGGCTCGGGGGGCGGCGCGTCGACCCCCGGACGCCCCACTGACCGCCCACAGGGGCCCGATAAAGCCCATCGCGCCCAGGAGCGTGCCGCTTTGCCATCGGGGGGCCCATGGCCGATCCTGTCTCACCGAGCGCGTTTTACGACTCGCAGAGTACTTGGTCGCAGACGTGCGAAAAACACACGCTCGCCTAGATCTATAGTGGATCGTAAGCTCCCGCGGCGACTCCAGGCCCTCTGCGCGTAGTTTTCTTGCGAGCAGTGGAACGCGCTTGTATACTACTGGCGATGCGTCGCCGATTCCAGGCCACCTGTGCGAGATAGGCGTAGTGGGGACGCATCGACCCCCCAATCGCCCATAGATGTCCCGGAGGGGTTCGCTCGCCCCAATCCCCGCCCAGGAGGGTGCGGCTTCAGTACCGGGACCCCACCGCCAATCGATCGACGATGTGCCGATTCCAGGCCGATGCATCCTCCTCCTTCCCCTCCTCCTCCTCCTCCTCCTCCTCCTCCTCCCCCTCCTCCCTCCTCTTCCCTCCTCCTCCTCCTCCTCCTCCTCCTCCTCCTCCTCCTCCTCCTCCTCCTCCTCCTCCTCCTCCTCCTCCCCCTCTATCGTTGCCCCTCGGCCAGCTCCCCCTGTCGTCGCCCTCCAGGGGGGGGGGCCCGCGGCGAGCATGCCGCGCGAGCAGGGGCGCCGCCGCGACGCGCGGCAGGCGCGCTACTCGGCGAGGGCGGGGCTGGCGGCCACGGGCTGCGCAAAGGGAGGCCCACGCTCCGAGCAGTCCCCTCCTCCTCCTCCTCCTCCTCCCCCTCCTCCTCCTCCCCCTCCTCCTCCTCCTCCTCCTCCTCCTCCTCCTCCTCCTCCTCTCCTCCTCTCCTCCCCTCCTCCTCCTCCCTCCTCCTCTCCTCCTCTCCTCCTCCTCCTCCTCCTCTCCTCCTCCTCCACCTCCTCCTCCTCCTCCTACCTCCTCCTCCTCCTCCTCCTCCTCCTCCTCCTCCTCCTCCTCCTCCTCCTCCTCCTCCTCCTCCTCCTCCCTCCTCCTCCTCCTCCCCCTCCTCCTCCTCCTCCTCCTCCTCCTCCTCCTCCTCCTCCTCCTCCTCCTCCTCCTCCTCCTCCTCCTCCACCAAACCACCCCAACCCCACCCGAGGGCCTCCATTTGCCCTTCCTTTCCAGTGGGGTGGGGGGGGGCGGGGCACGATGGAAGAACACACGGCACACGTGCCCCCGCCGACCCGACCCAACCCCACCCGAGGGCCTCCATTTGCCCTTCCTTTCCAGTGGTGGGGGGGGGGCGGGGGACGATGAAAGAACACACGGCACCCGTGCCCCCGCCAACCCGACCCAACCCCAACCCCGAGGGCCTCAAAATTGCCCTTCCTTTCCAGTGGTGGTGTGGGGGGGGGGGGGCGGGGGACACTGAAAGAACACACGGCACCCGTGCCCCCCCAACCCGACCCAACCCCACCCGAGGGCCTCCATTTGCCCTTCCTTTCCAGTGGTGGGGTGGGGGGCGGGGACGATGAAAGAACACGGGGCACCCGTGCCCCCGCCAACCCGACCCAACCCACCCGAGGGCCTCAACTTGCCCTTCATTTCCAGTGGTGGAGGGGGGGGCGGGGACCATGAAAGAACACACGGGACCCGTGCCCCCGCCAACCCGACCCAACCCCACCCGAGGGCCTCAACTTGCCCTTCATTTCCAGTGGTGGAGGGGGGGGGCGGGGGACCATGAAAGAACACACGGGACCCGTGCCCCCGCCAACCCGACCCAACCCCACCCGAGGGCCTCCATTTGCCCTTCCTTTCCAGTGGTGGGGGGAGGGGGGGCGGGGGACGATGAAAGAACACACGGCACCCGTACCCCCGCCAACCCGACCCAACCCAACCCGAGGGCCTCAACTTGCCCTTCCTTTCCAGTGGTGGTGGTGGGGGGGGGGACACTGAAAGAACACACGGCACCCGTACCCCCGCCAACCCGACCCGAACTTCGGGCCAAATGCGGGCCTTCGGGTCGGGCTGGGGTGGGTAGGCGGCCAAGCAGGGAAACTCTTCCCCCCTCGGCGGTGCGGCAGAGTTGGCCGCGCCAGCGAGGGAGCTCAGCGGGGGCACCGGGAAGCGGGCTGGCCAGCGTGCAGGAGAGCTTACCAGCCTGGAACCTATCCCTATCCATATGTTGGGCATCGCCTCATCACGATGGCGACCTTAGGGATTGCCTCAGTTTCTCAGGGTGTATCCCTAAGATTGTCATCGCCGTTGGGCGTGTCAATCTTAGGGATAGGGATAAGTTCGAGGCTGGTTGAGAGCGGGGAGAGGACACACCCGGCGGCCGCGGGGGGGGGGGGGAAGGGGAGGCCTCTCGGGGGCAGACGGGTCCGCACTGGAGCCAAGCAGGGGAACCGACAGTGGTCGGGTATGGCCAGGACCCCAGGTAAGGGGACCAAGTTAGTGGCAGGGCCCCAGAGCCTTTGAATTGGCCAGAATCACTAAACCAGGTTTGCCATAGCTGGTGTTTTCTCGGGTGACGGCAGTTCCGCTTAGTGGAAACGGGACGGGGGGGCGCCCCCAGTACAGATCACTAAACCAGGTTCCACCAAACCCAGTTCTGCCAACACCCGAAATGGCACAAGCATAAACAAGTCGGAGGTCCACGCGGATTCCTCGGCTCGGCGCTGGGCCCCCTGGGCGGCGCATCCGGCGCCGCCCTTGGGGGGGTCCAGCGCCGATGCGATAAGTCCGCGCGGACCGCAGAAGGAGCTCTTGTCGTTGGGGAGGGGCTCGGTGTTCCTTGACTGTTCAGCAGTTTGCCTCGGGCTTTCCTGAGGTTTTCCATGGGAGATCGAAGGTCCACCTCTGGGAGACTCACCACCCACCAAACCACCCCAACCCAACCCGAAGACCCAAATTTATCCTCGATTTCCAGTGGGGGGGGGTCGGGGAACACTGAAAAAACACATGGAACCCGTACCCCCCCAACCCGAAATTCGGGTCAAATTCGGGTCTTCGGGTTAGGTTGGGGTGGTCTGGTAGGTAGTCAGAAACAGGGGCCTCGTTCCTCATTCAGGGTTCCTCAGGACCGCGCCCCGACGGCAGCGTATCTCGTGCCCCCCTGCAGAGGGCCGCACCCCCCTCCCCAGGTCACAGGAGGCAGAGGCACCCGTGCGGCTACCCTTCCCTCCAGTTCGTTAGTTTTTTTTTTTTTTTTGTTTTTGTTTTTTTGTTCTTTCCTTTTTTAAATATTAGTTTTTTCTTCTCTGGAAGCTGGTTTATATACATGTATGTATGTATGTATGTATGTATGTATGTATGGATGGATGGATGCATGTATGTATGTATATATGTATGTATGTATGTATGTATGCATGCATGCATGCATGCATGCATGCATGCATGCATGCATGTATGTATGTATGTATGCATGTATATATGTATGTATGTATGTATGTATGTCTATACATATATATATATTACCAGTGGCGGGTTGTTTTGCAATCCCAGGATTTCTTGAGGGTCGAGGACGACGTCGGAGTGCTGCGGTGTATACGTTTTTGTCCCATTTCCCGGGGGGAGCATTACAAAATGTATGCACCAGGATCCGTATACACCAGGATCCGCTTTCCTGTGCGCATTTCAGTGCGGGGCCAGAAAAAGCGTCGGTGTATAGAGCTCGTTTCCCTATTTTTTCGGCGGCGAGCGAGGGACCTACGCTGCTCGAGGCACCTAGTCCTCAGGACCCCCAGCCCGGGACCCATCTTTCGAACCCCACCGCGCGGGGGCAGGTGCAGGAGTGGCGTTCCTCAGGTGTTCGATCATGGACACTTGTTGAACGCAGCCGTCCAGCTTTCGCGCCGCCTGCTGGGGACCGCCAAAGGCCGCCAGCAGTCGCCGAAGTCCGCCAGAAGACCGCCGAAGACCGCCAGAAGACCGCCGAAGGCCGCCGCGAAGACCGTCCGAGGACCGCCGAAGGCCGCCGACGACGGCCCGAGGAGCGCTGGGCAGCCGGGGGTCCATGGCTGAACACGCCACGTTCCCCCTCGGGCGGCGCAGAGGCGAGGCAGCTGCTGTTGGGGGGGGGGAAGTGGGACAGGTGCGCGCGGCGCGAGGGCGCACTCCTCCGCAGAGTTCCGCCCCCCCCCGCCTCCTCCGCTGCGAGCCTCCCGGTGCGGGGGCGGCCGGAAGGGGCGACCGCGGCGTCGAGCCTTCCCCCCGTCTTCCCGCCCCTCCCCCGCTCTCCCTCCTCCCCCCCCATTCTGGCCCCTTCTCCCTCCTGCCTCCTCTCTCTTCCCTCCCTCTCCTCCCCCTTCCCTCCTCCCCTCCTCCCCTCCTCTCCTCCCCGTTCTTGCCCCTCCTCCCTCCTCCCTCTCCTCCTGTCCCTCGCCCTTTCCTTTTTTCCCCCCGTCCAGCTTTCCTTCTTCTGATCCTGCTCCCCCTCGTCGCCGTGGTAAACCTCCTGCTCCTCGCTCCCCCACAGGTGGATCGCCGGGCGCTGACCCAGGAGGACATGTCCCCGCGATCGAAGCTTGCCAGAGGGAGGGGAGAACAGGACCTTTCGACGTGTTCCTTTCCCCTCCTCCCCTCTCTCCCTCTCTCTCTCTCTCCCTCACCATCTTTATCTCTCTCTCTCTCTCTTTCTGTCCCTCCCTCTCTCTTTCTTTCTTTCTCTCTCTCTCTCTCTTTCCTTTTTTCTCCTCTCTCTCTATTCCACTATCAAGCCATTCTTGTTGTTTTTGTTTGTGTTGGTGCCCCTGTCCGTCTTCCAACCAGTTGCATTTCATCGGGCCATTTGTGCTGCTCCGCTTTGCTCTGCTCTACTCTGCTCTGCTCTGCTCTGCTCTGCTCTGCTCTGCTCTGCTCTGCTCTGCTGCTGCTCTGCTGCTGCTCTGCTGCTGCTGCTGCTGCTGCTGCTGCTGCTGCTGTGCTGCTGCTGCTGCTGCTGCTGGTTTTGCCACCCTCCTCCTCCTTTGGAATCCAAAGCAGTTGTATAGGAGGGGGTACAGTGGACAGGGTGTTTACACAGTTTGGTTGGAGGAATTTGTGAATTCAGTGTGGGTCGGGCTTGACGCGCCTCGAAGAAAGCACGCGCACCCGAATCGCAAGCATCTGGCTATATGCGGACCCATGACAGTTTGCTTCCCGTCGTCGTCCTCGCCCTCGCTCCGTTGCCCTTCCTTTCTTCCCCCCTTGGATGGCGTCGAAAGCGTCCGCGGCTCGGGCGGGGCAGTGGCCCTTTCCACCTCCCCCATGATTCCTCGTTCCTCTTTGCCTCCCTGCTCCACCGTCCGTCGTCCGACTTCGTCTTCCCTCCTTGTTCGAAAAATGAAATCCCTGGTGCCGCGTGCCCGTGTTAGCAGTATATCGCCTTTTCGTTATCCGAGCCAAGCGGCGCAACCAAACAGAGGGGATTGCAAATGCGAGCGTTCGGGGCGCATTCCAAACGCGGGCGACACGGCCGCCGAGCGCAGTCGCATCGCTAACATGTAAATGTATAGGTGCCTGCGGCAAGGTCCGCCCCCTTGCCAGTGCAGTGGTCTGTATGGCGACGCGTGGAGCTTTGACTATTAAGAGGTCCATGACATGTGACACCTCCCGTGTTCTCGGATTGCTGTGCGGCCTTCTTTGGGGTCCTTCGAGGCCTTTTGGGGCGTCTTCGGGCCGTTGGGGGCCGCTTTGGTGCCGCGTTTCGCCGTGGCCTCCCTGGAGCAGGGAAGCGTGTATTTGCAGCTCCTTCGGGGGCGCCCTGGGCCGGGGAAGTGTGTATTTGCATTCCCCCCTGGCTGGGCATGTCGACCTCGGTTCTGGATTGGCAAAGTCGGGGCGCCCTCGAGGTGGCGAGCGTTCACATTTTCGAAATACACAGATCAAGGTGTGATCTGTGTACACAGTTTGTGTCTTCAACTGTGTATTTTCGTGTGCGGGCCCACTGTCTACACAGATCGTGGTGTGATCTGTGTGCACAGATCTGGTTCCCATCTGTGTATTTGGAGTGTGCCCCTCGCGGGTGGTGTTGATTGGGCGGGAACTTTCACGTTTCTCGCTCGGCTGGTCCAGGGGGGGCGTCGTACGCGGTCGAAATACACAGTTCGTGTTTCGAACTGTGCATTTGTTGCGCGCCGCTCGCTGGAGTGGTCACTGGGCGAGAGTTTCCGCGGGTCGCCCGGCTGGTCCAGCAGGGGGCCGTGGTCTGGGAGTGCAAAGGCGCGGGGATGGGGTGGGGATGGTGGGCTGTGGGAATGAAGAGGCTCGATAGGAGGGGTGGCCAAGGGGCCGGGGATGAACGGGATTGGATGAGACGGGGGGGAGTGGGCCCAGCTGGAGCTGCATCATCGGTGTCAACATCACGAGGACGAGGCAGGCGGGGGGGGCAGAAGGAGGGGGCATGATCTGCATCAGGGCGTGGAGGATGGGCGGAGGGCAAGCACGCGGACGAAGTGGGAATTCATCCGGCGGGGGAGGACGACGAGGAACGACGTGAATTGGCACATGGGGGGGTGACAGTGTGGGCGAGGGGCCTGGTGAGGACTGGGGGTAGTCGAAGGGGCATGAGGAGGGTGGGGCCACAGCGAAAGGATATTGGGTGCAGGCGGGGGATGGGGCAAGAGTTCGAGGCTGGCGCCCGCAAGCGCTTAGTTGAACAGTGTTTTGCGTGTCCGTGCACCCCCCAGAACACTGCGACCGGTTGCAGAGATTCATGATATGGGTAATCGCGCGCCTCGTGTTTCCAGGCCGAAGTCTCGAGTCCACGATGCCCCTTGGCGTCGCGTCGATGCCGCCCCGATTTGCCAGACCGCATATGCACATATCGTCATAATATGTGTTTCAACGTTTGTTGCATGACCCTCTCTATAGTAACATACCCACGTTGGAATTCAACTCCTCCTCCGCCTCCCCCCCCTCCTCCTCCTCCCCTCCTCCTCCGCCTCCGCCTCCGCCTCCTCCTCCTCCTCCGCCTCCTCCTCTTCCCCCTCCGCCTCCGCCTCCTCCGCCTGCTCCACCTCCTCCTCCTCCTCCGCCTCCTGCTCCTCCTGCTCCTCCTGCTGCTCCTCCTCCTCCTCCTCCTCCTCCTCCTCCTCCTCCTCCTCCTCCTCCTCCTCCTCCTCCTCCCTGTCCCCTCCCTCCCGTTGCTCCCCCCCGCTTCTCCCGTCGCTTCCCCCCCCCCCTCGGCTTCGAAGCGGGCTGGCGGGGCGGTGTTCTGGTAAGCTTCGATCGCTCTGGGCAGGAGGCGCGCGCCATGTTCCAGGCCACGGGTGGAGGAAACCTAAGGCTGAGGATCGGGTGGGAGGAAAACGATGGATCGGCGGGACGCCGGGGGAGGATGCTCAACGTGTTCTGATGTTCTCGTCGATTCCCAGAGGCTTTCAGGCCTCGGGATGCTCCCCAGCAGCTGCGCCTCGCCGAGGGCGTTCCCGGGGCGCCCGGACCGTTCCAAACGGCCGCCGGAGACCCGAGGCATGACCCGAACACCCAAATTTGGCGGCGTGCTGAGGGGGGAAGTGAGGGGGGGCAGGCCTTCTCGAAGGGTGGCGGCGCTTCTCAGAAGCCTCTTGGCCTTCCTCCTTTTTCTCCTCCTCCTTCTCCTCCTCCTTCTCCTCCTCCTCCTCCTCCTCCTGCTCCTCCTCCTACTCCTCCCCCTGCTCCTCCTCCTACTCCCCCTCCCCCTCCTCCTGCTCCTCCTCCTCCTCCTCCTTCTCCTCCTCTCCTCCTCCTCCTCCTCCTCCTCCTCCTCCTCCTCCTCCTCGATCTCCTCCTCCTCCTCCTCCTCCTCCTCCTCGTCCTCCTCCTCGATCTCCTCGAGGAGCCCTCTGCTCCGGGGAGGGCTTGCTGCAGGCCTGCTGGGTCTTCCGAGAAGGCTCGCCCCCGCTGCCTTCCCTCCCGGGCGCGCCGCCGACGGAGGTCCAGGAGGTCGCGGAGGGGGAGGAGGGGGAGGAGGGGGAGGAGGAGGAGGAGGAGGAGGAGGAGGAGGAGGAGGAGGAGGAGGAGGAGGAGGAGGAGCGGAGGAGGGCGGAGGAGGGCGGGGGAGGGCGGGGGAGGGCGGGGGAGGGCGGAGGAGGGCGGAGGAAGAGGCGGAGGAGGAGGTGGCGGAGGGGAGGAGGCGTCGAGGAGGGGTAGGAGAAGGAGGGGGAGGAGGAGATCGCGGTCTCTCTCTCTCTCTCGCTCTCGCGGTCTCTCTCTCTCTCTCTTTCGCTGGCTTGGACGGCTGGCCCGCTCTTCTCATCTGATCTTACTCCCTGTCGACGGTGGCGACGACGACCAGGACGACGGTGACGGCGACGACGACGTTGACGAAGACGACGGTCATGGCGTCGGCGGCGGCGACCGGCTGGAGGCGATCGACCGCAGTGACACTCGCGGCTTCGGCATCAGACAGCTGGCCAGCGTCTGCGTGGACGCTCTTCTGGCCGCGCCGGCCGCCGTCGGCTGGACGGAGCGGCCTTCTGGTCGTCGTCCTCGTCGCCGCCTCGCCATGTTCTTGTCACCATCGCCGCTGTCACCATCGCCGCCGCTGTCGCTGCTGTCGCCGTCGCCGCGGTCACCATGACCGATGCTGCCGCTGTGGCCGTCGCCCTCGCAGCGGCCTGGCTTCCGACGCTGTCGTTGTTGTGCCCGCTGTGGTGTTTTGTTTCCCCCCCGCAGGCTTCAAACACTTTAACGTACCCCCCAGTAGAGTTAGGTCGGGCATGTCCCCCTACAGAGGGAGTTAGGACGACAAATCAAGATACACAAACAAATGTGCAACAATGGTAAACAAAACTCACAAATCGCCCCCAGACTATTTTTTGACTTTTTTTGGATTTTCCTCCTGTGGAGTGTAGAGGGACAGGCCCGACTTAAGAGTAGGGGGTCTGGACGTGGCGAGACACAGGCTCCAGCAAGAGCAAAGCCCAGCGAGCTCGTCAGAGGTTCGAGCGCGCCGTGGTGGTGGTGGTGGTGGTGGTGGTGGTGGTGGTGGTCTCCTCCTCTCGGGCAGGACGCGCGCTCAAGAGGAGGGGGGGGGGGGCTGAAGCACCTGCGCCCCGCGCTGGCGGCCCGCGCAATGCCACGCCGCAAGGTCGCCAGGTGACCGTGCGTAGGGCCCCTTTCGTTTCGTCGCTCCCCTCACGACGGGCAATGACCAGCCCGCGGGGCGCCGAGGAGACGATTTCGCTGCTGGACTACGCCTCGTGGAAGGACAGGGACTCGCACGCGCCGCCCTCGGCCCCGCTTGCCTGCCGCCGTCGACGTCGGCGCAGTCGACGTCGCTGCCCTCCTCCTGACTTCGCTCGATGGTGGTGGTGGTGGTGAAGATGACGACGAGGGTGATGATGATGATGATGATGATGATGATGATGATGATGATGATGATGATGATGATGCTGATGCTGATGATGATAATCATGGTGGCGATGATGATGTTGAGGATGATGATGATGATGATGATTATGATGATGACGATGATGATGAGGAGCATGTTGATGAGGATGCTGCTGATGATGATGATACTGATTATGCTGGTGATGCTGATGATGATGGCGATGATCATGTTGGTGATGGTGGTGTTGATGTTGCTGATGATGACGATGCTGACGGCGAGCATGCTGATGAGATACTGCTGATGCTGCTGATGATGGTGATGATGATGCTGATGATGAGCATGAGGACGACGACGATGAGATGACGATGATGACGATGAGGAGGAATAAGAGGAGAAGGATGATGGATAAGGTGATGGTGGTAATGCTGATGGTGGTGATGATGAGGATGATGCTTATCATGGTGTTGATAGTCATGATAATGCTGATGATGATTTTTCTGATTATGATGATGACGATGATGACGACGAGCATGATGAATTTGATGATGATAATGATGATGGTGATGATGAGTATGATGATGATGAGCATGATGATGACGACGATGACGATGACGATGATGATGAGGATGAGGAGAATGAGGAGAAGGATGCAAATGAAGAGGATGATGAAGCAGATGATGGTGATGCTGATGGCGATGATGATGCTGTTGCTGATAGTAATGCTGGCGGTGGTGGTGATGATGATGGCGATGGTGATGGTGAGGATGCAGTTGACGGCGATGACAATGATGGCGTTGATTATGATGTTGTTGCGGTTGTGGGTGCTGCTGCTGTTGATGCTGTTGCTGTTGTTGCTGTTGTCGTCGCCGTCGTCGTCGTCGTTGTTGTTGGTGTTGTTGTTGTTGTTGCTGCTGTTGTAGCTGTTATTGTGATGGTTGTTATTATGGTGGTTGTTTTTGTTGCTGTTGTTGTTGTTGTTGAACATTATTAATTCTAAAGAATAATTATTGTTGGGGCCCCTGGTGCACGGCCCCCCTGCGCCGCCTAGGCCGCAGCTACATTTTCATCATTTTCGTGAGGAAGCCTCAGGTAATACGATGTCATCAAGATCCGGTTGTTTTGTTGTAATCCGTTTTCCCTTGCAAAAAACACTATAAAATGACATTTCTTGTTCTAATATAATCAAATTTCAAGAATCCCTTGCAAAAAATAAGGTAAAGTGGACATTCGCGCGCGCAAGACGAAATCCTTCCAAAAGCTTAGTGTTCGGAGCGATTTTAACATAAAAACATCAAAAAACCAATGGTTTTTCAACAAAAAAATGTCAAAATCTCATCCCGCGCGCTCTTGCGGATTCGTAGGAAACCCAACACTTTTTAAACATTTCTGTCAAACGGGCTTTTGCGAGCAACTTTTTCGAACTTCTGCGACAACGGTTGCGCACCTGCCAGGGCCATCATCCCTGTCAAATAATACCATGCGGGACACATTCGTTTTTTCTTCGCGCGCGCACGCCGAAATCTCCAAAAACCATTGGGTTTTTAAGAATTTTAGCACCGCGCATCATAAAATCACACGAATCGCACCGTAGGTCCTCGAAAAACACCTGCACGACTTTTCAAAATTTCTACCCGCGCGCGCTGTCCTAACAACTTCTGTGGGTGTGTACTCCACGCCAGTGTAGTAGCCACGGTCGTCCGCAGGCCACGAAGTGAAGTGTCCGAACGTCATAGGGCGGGAAGCTGGGTGTGGGTGGTGGCGAAGAGTCGTGTGGATATTTGGTAGAGCTTGCACTGCCCCCCCACAAAGTGGGGGTATTGGCTGGCGTCGCATGAAAACCCTGGCACTGGTGAGAACACTGAGCGTTCGGGTAAAGTGATTGTTGGTGTTGTTGTTGTTGTTATCGAATTCTTATTTTGGAATGATGATGGTTCATCCCCCCTCACTGGTGCACATTTGGCTTTATCAGTTGAAGTGTCCCCCTCGGGGCTCGCACCCTCCTTTTTTATCAGGGCAAGTCTTCCTGCTCATACTGCTTGGTTGGGCCCCAAACTACAACTGCATCATCAACAACAACAGCTCCCGCGTGATACTTCCTCACAATTGATTCCAAAGTCGAGCTCTCGCTCAGGACACCCTCACAATGTATGCACTTCGCCGAGGGCGTTCCGGGGGTGCCCAGGTGGTCCCAAACGGCTGCTTGGGACCCGGGGCATGATCCGAAAGCAGGACTCCGTGGCGTGCCGAGGGAGGACGCGAGCGGGGGCAGGCCTGCTCAGAGGGCGTTGAGGCTTCCCGCAGAGGCTCCGGCCTCGTGAGAAGCCGTCTCTGTCCTCGGTTACCAGCCTCGAACGTACCCCTATCCCTAAGATTGACACGCCAAAAGGCGATGACAATCAAAGGGATTCGCCCTCAAAAAATAAAGGAATCCCTAAGATTGGCATCGTGATGAGGAGGTGCCCAGCATAGGGATAGGGATATGTTCCAGGCTGGTAACTCGGGGAAGGCCCAGAAAGCTTCTCAGAAGGCCGCAGGCCTTCCGAGTCCCCTGAGAATGCCCGCTGACAAGACTGTCGATCAGCTTTCGTCGTGGTTCTGCGCGGCGCGAGGATGCCTGGGTCTGAGAGGAGTCCGAGGTGCTCCTGCTGCGCAACGCCCCGGTACCAGCTTTTCATCTTGAGCCGCTTTTTGACGGCTCTGGGGCCCAGTGAGAGCTCCCCGGGACCCAAGATTGTCAAACATCATCCGTCAATGTTTTTCACGATGCGCGGCGGGAGGAGGAGGAGGAGGAGGAGGAGGAGGAGGAGGAGGAGGAGGAGGAGGAGGAGGAGGAGGAGGAGGAGGAGGAGGAGGAGGAGGAGGAACGTCTGGGTCTGCGAGGGGTCCGAGGTGCTCCTGCTGCTCAACGCCGGCGCAGACCCCAGCGCCGGCGCCCTGGCGCCGGGGGCGCTAGACCGGCTGCCGCGCCCCTACGCGGCGTGGGTGGCCAAGGCTGCGGCCGCCATGAGGACCTCGTGGACGCCATTTAGCCTTCTCAAGCTGGGTCCGAGTAGATGGGGTCGGAGGATCGCGCCGCATCGCGCGCCGCAGCGCCTATGCATCGGCGATGTGGCGCGATGTGGATCACGATTTGCTCCACCCCGACGTTGCCGATACATCGCTGCCGAAGCATCGCCGATGCGGCGGGATCCTCCGACCACATCTACTCGGACAACATTCGGGAGGCCTCTGCGCACTCAGGCTGCCCCAGTCCAGATGGGTTTTTAGATGCTTCCTGAGGTTTTTGCATGTTTTCTTCCGTCGGGGTGCCTTCCAGCAGCTGCGCCTCGTCGAGGGCTTTGAGGGGGTGCCGGATCGTGCCAGTGGGCCAGAAACATTGACATGTTTTTTGCACTGGTTGTGCAAAGCGTTGCAGGTCCAGCTTCCTCGTCCCTCGTTCCCTGACATCTGGTCAGTCCTCGGCCCAAGAGTAGCTTTTCGTCCGGGATCCGTTTTTGACGGTTCCGAGGCTATATATTATTTTGGTAGCAAATCATGGGGGCCTTGTGCACCCTCGTAATTGCGTCTTTCGAGTGCCTTAGCGTCGATAAGCGTTTGGTGATCGGTGAGAAGGGGCCGATCTCGCGTCGACTAGCCTCGATCAGCCTCGCCTTAGCGTCGATCTAGCGTCGATTAGCGTCGGCTCGCAAGAGCCAACAAGAGGGTATGGGAGGCCCCCATGAGCTGCCACAGGACTTCAAAGCAGCGCACACCGAACAGCAACCCGATCGTCGGGGATCTGGGCTCCTCGTTTCCCCTGGCCTTCTCGGAGTCTTCCTTCGCCGCCGCGGCCGGACGCAGCCCGAGGCCCGCGCCAGGGCGGACCCCCCTTGCGGCGGGCGCCGCCTGGACCTCGCCCAGAGCATGCGATCGTTCTCGTACTCGTTGTTTTGCCGATCGGCGCGAGCCCTCGCACCCCCCCCCCTTCGCCCCCCCATGGAGTGGATCTTGCATGTTTTTGGCGCCTGCTTCGAGCAGGTGGATTCTCCCCCCTCATAAGGCGCACTGTCGCAGACAGTCGCACCAAGCACAGGTCTGGAGCCAGACCCCCCCCCCTCCCCCCAGTCTCCGCTCAACGTCGAAACGCCGAATGAGAAAACGCTCACCATGGAGCTCTTTGGCGGCTCGAAGAGGAGCCGCACTTGCCACAGACGGATCACGCGATGCAGTCAGCCCGCATTGTAAGGATGGACAATCTTCCCAAGGGTACCCTTGCATCCTTGCCCCTTCGGCCCATCCTTAGCGAAGTTCGCTGGCCAGCCTCGTTCGAGAAACGTTCGTGTGGGCCTCCAAGGCCCTTGCATCCTTACCGCGCATACTTATGATACGGGTTGACTGTAGCGGCCGTTGCCAGTCCCAGCCGGTCGCCCCCCCTTCTCCCCAGGTGACGTCACAATTCGTGCTGACTTCCGAGGTACTCCAGATTTCGTAATACAGGGAGGGGGGTCTCATTTCGGGGGGGGGTCTCTTCCAAGCTATCTTGGAGGGCCTGGGGGGGTCTGGGGACGATGTTTTGGAGGGTTCTCCCAGGGGGGGGGGTCTAAGACTTCCCGTCTGGGAGGGTTGAGACCCCCTCCCTTTTATTACGAAATCTGGAGTACCTCTTTGGTTACTCCCTCACACTCCCAGACGGCGCCGCCGCGAAACGTGACGATCCCTGCCCCCCCCCTGGGTAGCCGGCGTCTCGGTCTTGTCCAGACACGGACCCCCCGACCTCTCGACCATCTCCCCGGGACCAGTTTCTCATCCCGAGTCTTGGTGGTCTCCAAACCCGGTGGTGAGACACCCGGTGGTGACCCCGATTCCCCCAAAAAATGATTCTAGGTCACCACTGGGTTTGGGGACACGCCGTCGCCACGAGGTTTTGCGTTTCCTGGGCCAGCCAGCGCTCGAAAACCATCACCCAAATCGCCCAAAACTCACCACCGGGTGTTCTCACCACCACGTTTGGGGACCACCAAGAGTCGTTGCCCGACGCTCCCGAGGCCCATGAAGGGCCCCGAGAGGCCGAACACGCGGATATCAAACGGCCACACTTTGGGTGATAGGGAGGTTGGAGGGCGGGGGGACAGAGCCAACCACCGGCAACTGCGATGGTTGTGATGATGAAGATGCTGGTGACGCGCCCTCGAGGTAGCGACGACGCGTGATGACGATGTTGCGCTGCGATTCAATGTCACTATCGTCCCCGCTTTCGATCTCACTCGATCGATCCCACTATCGACCTCACGGCCAACCAATGGATTCAGCGATCGATCCCACTGTGTTCGCCCCAGTGGAGATCGCCTGTCCCCGCGAGATCTGCATGACCCTGGGACGTCGCCTCCCTGCGCATCCGGCAGCGCGAGCACAACCACTGTCACAACGAACCTCTCTGTCGATCTCACTTTTGATCTCACTATCCGTCCCATTCCAGCGATCCCGTCATCGATCTTGCTATCGACTTCGCTATCAATGCCAAGACGGGACACCCCCGGCCACCGCCCGCCCACCGCCGACGGAACACCGACGGGACACCGGCGGGACACCACAGGACACCCTCGGCCGCCGCGTGCCCACCGGGGGCAGAGGGCCGGTCCACTGCACCCGGCCCGCGCAGCCTCGCCTCGCCCGCACACACACGGAGCCGATCTCACCGTGGGGGGCTCTCCGTTCCACAGCGCTCTCACACCCCCAAACCTCCGAGCCCTGCCTCGGGTCCCTCCCCTCCCCCCTGGTAGCGCCCGCCATCGCCTGGGAGTCATCGGGGGTGGACAGAACCCCCAACAGTGACACGTCGATTAGTGCATCGTCCGTTTTCGGTTCTCGAGGGGGCGCCGTGGCCGTTATTTTCCAGGCTTGCGCCCGCCAGGTTTGGGCCTCAGGTCGTTTTCACTAAACCACGTTTTACTAAACCCCGAAGTAAACAAACCCACGCGCTCTCGTGTTCGCGGCGTCTGCGCGCGGGGGTCGTCTCTGGGCCTTGCGGGGTGCCCAGATGGGGCCTTGGGCGGGGGCACACACAGGCACAACGAATTGTCGATTTCCAGGAAGGCATAGGAACATATGGGAAGGGGGGGGAAGACGATCATCCAGAAAATATAGAAAACCATAGGGAACCCTTGGATTCGTGTCTATCTATTTGTGTGCCCCTGGGCCCCTTCAGATATGAGTTTTCCAATCTGGGCCTTTCCCGTGATTTCTGCCTCTCGGGCGTTTCCTGTGAGCTCGGCCCTTCGGGCCCGTCTTCGGGCCCAAGGACCATCCAGAACGGACAAGGGGCGACAAGCTGGCCCCAGGGAAGGGATTGGGACCACTGAGGCTGGGCACTAGGCAGACTCACGTTGGCGCATGTTCGGGAATCGGCCTTGGGTGGGGTGGGGGGTCCGATGGGGCGAGGCCCAGACCTCCTCATACCTCCGCAGAGACAGCGCGGAGAGTCTCGTCGCCTCTTCCGGCTCCCTGGGAGAGGCCTCGTCCGGGCCCCGTGGGCCTGCGGAACGCAGTCAGGCAGAAGACCTGCCTCGGGAGAGGGTCTGGTCTTCTGGGGGCCCCGTATGTCAGACGATAAACATGCACCAACGCCACTGGGGCCGACCCCTGGTTCGCGGCACGCGCGAGCATCGTCCGGTACATGACGATGCCTGGGCTCGCCGTCGCTCCTCCGCCCTTCCGCCCTCGTCGGCTCCCTGGCCGTCGGACATGTCTTGTTCAGGTCGAGACGCTGACGCTGATGATGATGATGATGATGATGATGATGATGATGATGATGATGGTGGTGGTGGTGGTGCTGATGATGATGCTGATGATGATGATGATGATCATGATGATGCTGATGACGATGCTGATGATGATGCTGATGATGATGCTGATGATGATGCCCTTCCGCCCTCGTTGGCTCTCTGGCCAGCGGGCATGTCTTGTTCAGGTCGACACGCACACCCCGGCAGGATCCTTCATCCGCCCCCCATCCCCATCCTCATCCCCTTCGACCCCCACCAAATTACCACCCCAGTCGGAGATACACCCCTCGAAACCCGCAGAGAACGGCCTACATTCCAATCTAGGGGGGTAAATCGGCCAGTGAGGCCCAGGCCACGCCGCTGGGGATGGGGATCGGTTAAACGATATTCAGAGACGCACGCCCCGGCAGGATGACGATGACGATGACGATGACGATGACGATGACGATGATGATGATGATGATGATGATGATGATGATGATGATGATGATGATGATGATGATGATGATGATGATGATGATGATGATGATGATGATTCTCATGCTGATGCTGACGCTGATGATGGTGATGGTGATGATGCTGATGCTGATGATGATGATGCTGATGCTGATGCTGCTGCTGCTGCTGATGATGATGATGATGATGGTGATGATGATGATGATGATGATGATGATGATGATGATGATGATGATGATGGTGCTGCTGATGCTGATGCTGATGCTGATGCTGATGACGCTGCTGCTGCTGCTGCTGCTGCTGCTGCTGCTGATGATGATGATGATGATGATGATGATGATGATGATGATGGTGATGATGATGATGATGATGATGATGATGCCCTTGCGCCCTCGTTGGCTCTCTGGCCGTCGGGCACGTCTTGTGCAGGTCGAGACGCACACCCCGGCAGGAGTGATCTATCGTTTAAGTCTAGCCTGTCTGTCTACAGGAGGAATATTTGAAGATAGTAAAAAAACAATGAGCCGTTTTTTTCGACTATTTTTGATTGCTTTTGGAGTGCTGTTTGAATATTCTTCAGTTTTTCGTCCAACATCCCCCTGTACGAGGACAGGCCCGACTTACATTTATTGAAAGACGAAGCGTGGACAATCTTCCGGGAGCAGGCGCCCCACCGACCATGGGCGCTGCTCTGCATCCTTGGAGGCCCTCCCGAGAGACTCGGGGAATCAGTATCCCCTCCCCTCCGAGACCCCCACCAAATTACCACCCCAGTCGGGGATACACCCCTCGAAACTCGAAGGGAACGACCTGTACCCCCATCTAGGGGGGTAAGTCGGCCAGTGGGGCCCAGGCCACGCCTCTGGGGATGGGGATCGGTCAAACGATGCTCAGGGAAGGGGCCGATCCCTTCTCCGAGCCGCAGGGGGGGCAGCCGACAGACGTGAAATCCTGCCTGGGCCGAGCAGCGTCGAAATCCCCGGGCGAGGTCGAGCCTCCCAGCAGCCCTGCCCCGGGAAGACAGCTTGCCGTGAAGCGCAACACCCGCCGCCCTGCCCCGCCTCGCAGCGCCTCGCTCTCCGCCCCGAGCCCGCCTTGGAGCCCGCAGGGAGCTGCCGTCCCGCGCTGCCGCCTCGAGCCTGCCGCCGAGAGCACGCCCGCCCGCGCTGCTGCCGGGCTGCCGTCCCCTCCCCCCTCCCCCCCCTCGGACCGAGGAGGGCGGGTGCCGACTTGGGCGCCGCCGCGGGGCCCGCGTCCAAGGAGCGCGCCGCCGCGGGGGTCGACGTCGTCGTCGTCGCCGCCGTCGCCGCCGTCGTCTCTGCCGTCGTCTCCGCCGCCGTGGTGGACGTCGCCGTCGCGGCCGCCGTCGTCATCGCCGCTGTCGGCGTCGGCGTCGCGGCCGCCGCGGTCGTCACATGGGGGAGGAGTTGGGAAGCTCCATGAATCTCCAGGGTGGGAGGAGGCAGGAGGGGCAGGGTGGAGGGGGGAGGGTGAAGGGGCAGGGGATTTTGGGGGTTGGCATGGGGCAAGCAGGGACGGACTTTTGTGGGCGTGGGTCAGCGTCACGCCCCGACTCCCGATCAGCAGCAGGCCGCAGCGGCAGGAGTAGGAAGAGCAGGAGGGGGGGAGGAAGGGAAGGAGGAGGAGGGCCGAGTCTGAGGCGGAGGCGGAGGAGGAGGAGGAGCGGGAGGAGGAGGAGGAGAAGGAGGAGGAGGAGGAGGAGTAGCACTATTATTATTTCCCAACCCTCCTGCGTTGGGTTCTCGTTTTGAATAGAGCACTGCTCGCGCGTCTCCTTCCTTCCCGCACCCCCCCATCCCTCTCTTCCCCCTTGCCTTTGACCTCGCCATCCCTGGGGGGCTGCGATCTGTGAAACTGTCGCCACTTTCGAGGCCTGCTTGGGGGCCCAGCACAGTGGGTACACACGGCGGATTGAAATTGGACCTCGCCATCCCTGGGGGGCTGCGATCTGTGAAACTGTCGCCACTTTCGAGGCCTGCTGGGGGGCCCAGCACAGTGGGTACCCACACGCAGATTCAAATTTGACCTCGCCATCCCTGGGGGGTTGCGATCTGTGAAACTGTCGCCACTTTCGAGGCCTGCTGGGGGGCCAGCACAGTGGGTACCCACCGCAGATTCAAATTAGACCTCGCCATCCCTGGGGGGCTGCGATCTGTGAAACTGTCGCCACTTTCGAGGCCTGCTGGGGGGCCAAGCACAGTGGGTACACATAGCGGACTCAAATTAAACCTCGCCATCCCTGGGGGGCTGCGATCTGTGAAACTGTCGCCACTTTCGAGGCCTGCTGGGGGGCCCAGCACAGTGGGTACCCACCGCGGACTCAAATTAGACCTCGCCATCCCTGGGGGGCTGCGATCTGTGAAACTGTCGCCACTTTCGAGGCCTGCTGGGGGGCCCAGCACAGTGACCCACACGGCGGATTCAAATTAGACCTCGCCATCCCTGGGGGGCTGCGATCTGTGAAACTGTCGCCACTTTCGAGGCCTGCTGGGGGGGCCAGCACAGTGACCCACAGACCTCGCATCCCTGGGGGGTGCGATCTGTGAAACTGTCGCCACTTGCGAGGCCTTCTGGGGGGCCAGCACAGTGGGTACTCACCGCGGATCAAATTAGACCTCGCCATCCCTGGGGGGCTGCGATCTGTGAAACTGTCGCCACTTTCGAGGCCTGCTGAGGGGCCCAGCACAGTGGGTACCCACCACGGACTCAAATGGGACCTCGCCATCCCTGGGGGGCCGCGATCTGTGAAACTGTCGCCACTTTCGAGGCCTGCTGGGGGGCCCAGCACAGCGGGTACCCACCGCAGATTCAAATTAGACCTCGCCATCCTTGGGGGGTTGCGATCTGTGAATCTGTCGCCACTTTCGATGCCTGCTGGGGGTCCCAGCACAGTGGGTACCCACCGCAGATTCAAATTAGACCTCGCCATTCCTGGGGGGCTGCGATATGTGAAACTGTCGCCACTTTCGATGCCTGCTGGGGGGCCCAGCACAGTGGGTACCCACCGCAGATTCAAAGTAGACCTCGCCATCCCTGGGGGGCCGCGATCTGTGAAACTGTCGCCACTTTCGAGGGCTGCTTGGGGGGCCCAGCACAGTGGGTACCCAC